TTTTTACACACCCGGGAGATTTCCCCTGCAAGACTGGGCCAGACCACTGTTGCCCCCCCCCCCACAAGCACCAAGAATACAGAGAGTCACTTGCCCCAGACCGAGAGTTCCTCTCTATACGTTGTGGCTAAGAGCCACTGATGGACCTCTGCTCCATAGGTTTATCCAATTCCCTCTTAAAGTTGTCCATGCTTGTAGCCGCCACCACCTCCTGTGGCAGTGAATTCCATGTGTTCATCACTCTTTGGGTGAAGAAGGACTTCCTTTTATCTGTTCTAAGCCAACTGCTGAGCAATTTCATGGAGTGCCCACAAGTCCTTGTATTGTGAGAAAGGGAGAAAAGTACTTCTTTCTCTACCTGCTCTATCCCATGCATAATCTTATAAACCTTGATCATGTCAACCCTCAGCCAACTTTTCTCCAAGCTAAAGAGCCTCAAGCATTTTAACTAAACAACCCCTCCCCCAAACCCTGTGGATATAAATGCATTTTCTTCCTTGTGGAGGAATAAATGAGGAAAATCTTCAGCTCTAGTTTGACCTGTGGAGGTTCAATACCTTAGGAGCAATGGAAAAGTCAATCTCTCCCTTTATTGTTCTAACTGTATAATAACAGATCCAGCTCTGCCTTCCTTTGCTTCCCCCAGAGAAGCTAAGCGGAGTTAATGAGATCCTCTCCTGCTTGCTTTTGAGCAAAGGTGTTGAACTCATTTGTTACGAGGGCCGGATTCTGATATAAATGTCACTTTGTCGGGCTGGGCCATGTGTGCCATAAAACGTAATGCCAGGTACCGGAGATATAAACTGTGTAAAGGACAGCAGTTGGTAAGCTTTGAGTTGGTGTCTCCTCACTGTAAGGCCTCATGGGCTGGGAGGGGGGTGCAAAGGGGAACCCACATGGGTGGACTCTGGGGAGCCAGGGGTGCAGCACTGGGCAGACGCTCCCACGCTACTTGACTGTGGCAGATTAGGTTGTTCCGCCGTGCTAAAGCTGCAGTCGGTTCCGCCCACTCCCCCGTCAGCAGTCTCCTGTTTCTTCCCTTGCAGTAGTTGCTCGCAGGCCGCATAAGAGCCTTGGGTGGGCTGCTTCCGGCCCCCGGGTCTTATGTTTGACACCCCTGCTTTAGAGCATCAGGGCTTCATCGTATCTTTGCAAGGGGGACTAGATGCCAGGACTGGTTCCTACACCAACTTCTCTGAAAGATGGATTTTTTTTTAAAGCAATGGCTTCCAAGACCCTGCCCTGGTAGCAGATTCACAGGGAAATTGCAGTACCTGGAGATACAGAGGGCAGCCATGTTGACCTGCAGTAAAACAGCCGGATTCGAGTTTAGTAGCACCTTAGAGACCAATAAGATTTTGCAGGGCCTGAGCTTTCAAGAGCTCCCTCTGTCAGACGTATCTGCCTCTCCGAAGCTTCTACCCTGAAAATTTTGTTGGTCTCTGAGGTGCTGCTGGACTCGAATCTGGTTTTACCATAGTGGGTTGTTACCACCACCGCCCTGTGGTGAGAATCATGCCATGGCTTGTTCCCTCATTGGCTTTCTACCGTGGGTTCTCTGTTGTGGCAGCTTCAGCTGATTCCCCCCACACACACACGGATTCCAGTTCTAGGCCAAATTCAGAGGACCCAGTGGCGGACAGGCGCCTGGAGAAAGCTTTTCCCGCTATTTCTCTTTGCCTGTGGAATGTGCAACCTGCAGCCTCTTGGCTCCTCTCTCCCCTTCCTTGCTCCCTGTTAAGTAGGGTGGTTGCCAACTCTGGGTTGGAAAGTTCCTGGAGATTTAGGGGCGCAGCCTATGAAGGATGGGATTTGGGGAGGGATTCAGCGGAATACAGTGCCACGGAGTCCACACTTCAGAGCAGCCATTTCTCCCAGGGGAGCTGATCTCTGTTGTCTGTTGTGATTCTGGGGGATCTCCAGGGCCCACCAGGAGGCTGGCAGCCCCATTAGCCTCTCCTCACAGCTCAAGGACCGGTCTATTCCAGACGGTTTGGGGTGAATTGCTGATTGCATTGATTATTTTGTAGTTTCTGTTTTTTCCGCTGTTGTATTTGGTATTTTTGTTTAAAATACCTTTTTTTACTACAAATAAGGTTTACTGCTGTGATTTGCCATTACGTGCTGAAGTTTATGTCTTTTAAATTTTTGTTTTAAGATTGGAGGCCTCCCTGGGTCTCTTGCTAGAGAAACAAATGGCCTAAATAAGGAGCAGTGGAGAATTCCCTGGGCCTTCGCTGCGGAACAGTAGATGCATTGCCTGTTCCCCCATGTTGACTGTTTACACCCAGAAATATCTTGCCAGGCACAGCTGCGGAAGAATCTAGTTCAGATGGTTGAAATGGCATTTGTCTTTTCATTCCCTTTCTGCGGAGGACCCATTAGCGAGCCCTGCCACCTGGGTGCCGGTAGGCAGCCCCAACCCCTGTAGACATGTGGCCTTAGCTAGGGATAAATTTGGAACTTGTAAGCCGCTCAGAGACCCTTCGGGGTTGGAGTGGGGTAGAAATCGAAGATATAAATAAATAAATAAATAAAACACAAAATGAAGAATTTGTCCGTAGCAACACAGCAGAGGAGCTTGTCAGGACATGTGATTCTGGGGGATCTCCAGGGCCCACCAGGAGGCTGGCAGCCCCATTAGCCTCTCCTCACAGCTCAAGGACCGGCCTATTCCAGACGGTTTGGGGTGAATTGCTGATTGCATTGATTATTTTATAGTTTCTGTTTTTTCCGCTGTTGTATTTGGTATTTTGTTTAAAATACCTTTTTTTACAAGTAAGCAAAGGTGGATTCCATTTTGTCTCTGTCGCGGGGCTTTCTGCAGCCTCATTGTTGAGAAGCAAATAGGCCAGGGCATTGGCATATCGTTCAGCTGGAATCACTAGTCCCCACTGCCTTTCATGCTGTTGCCTTGCTTTTTATTAATCCTGTCCGATGCAGGGGTTTGGGCTTTAAATATGTTAATAGTCCTAATCGTTCTTTGAAATGGCAATTTCAACCTGTGGGTAATGTTTAAAAAAAAATTGTTTGGGAGGCTGCTGAAAATATATTTTGTGCATAAAACAATTTGCAAACACAAAAGGAAGAATTTGGCCATAGCAGCACAGCAGAGGAGCTTGTCAGAACCGCTGCATTGTGCAGAGTATGGCCAAGGGGACAGTCTGTCCTCATCCTGTCTGCCCTGGGTCAGAAGCGCCTCTCCCAAGCCTCAGGGCTTTCTCAGCAAAAAAAAGGGAAGCATAAGGAAGCTACAAAACCCCAAGGGGGGGGGGGGGTAAAGCGCAAGACAGGCGAAACAGGTAACAGCAGATATAATGGCAGCTAGCTGACATAGGGGCAGGGGGCTGCATCCACAGCTGTGGCCAGGCTTTGGCATCCCCAGTGAATAGAGAGGGTGCAGCAAGATAAGCACCACTCTCCTCTGCAGCTACACACTGCAGAAGAACAGTAGTGAAGGGCGAGCCGCTCTCTTGGAGAGCTTGTTCACTGTTTGAGGGACCACGGCTCAGTGGTAGAGCATCCGCTTGGCATACTGGAGATCCCAATAAAGGTACTGAAACTGATCCTCAGCATCTTCAGAAGAAGAAGAAGAGATTGGATTTATACCCCGCCCTTCACTACCCAAAGGTGTCTCAGGGCAGCTTACAAACTCCTTTCCCTTCCCCCTCCCCACAACAGACACCCTGGGAGGTAGGTGGGGCTGAGAGAGTTCTTGACAGAAACTGCTCTTTTTCAAGAACAGCTCTTATCAGAACTATGGCTTGCCCAAGGTCATCCAGCCAGGTGCAAGTGGAGGAGTGGG